ATATATTTATATATAAATAAAAATGCTTAAAATAAGCAAATGCAAATGTAATATAATTACCATATTTTATTATTTGTTTAAAAAAACTGTAAATGTAATTATATTATAAAATATATCTTATCTAAACAAGATGTAACTGTTTTTATTTAGCAAAGTACTTTTATTTTAAGAATTTACATAAATTGTTATTAAATTTTTAAATTGTTACAACAATGTAGAAATTGTTTATATTATTTAATTTTATTATTTAAGCTCTAAAACGACATTACTTTATTTTTTTAATTACCTTGCCGTAGAATTTTTATCTTGAATTCATATTTTTTGCGAATTATTTGATTTCTTGATATTTGCTTTCCTTTATTTAACTTGATATTTATTAGAAAGTTTTTCACAATTTACATAATTTCTTCCATTTAGTATTAATATAAACAAATAACATTTCTTTTTAAAAATCAATTCATTTTTACTTAAGCATAATAATCGAAAGCAGATTTGTTAGTTTTGTAAAATATTCCTTTTATTAATAAAAAATTTAATTTTGGTACTTATTCTGTATTTTTGATTAAATTATTATAAAGTTTAATTTAAAAAACAAAAAAAATTAAATTTGTATTAACTTATATATTTAATTTACCTTCATGCTTTTGTAGCGTCTTTTAGTTGCTGTGTTCAAATCTTCATGCACTTTATCCAGTAACCAAAATAGAAACTCTTGTGCGTCATGCTGCGTAGAGCTACGAAACTGGGAACCATATCGATCTACAACCGCCTAGAAATGTTCAGTCATAATAATTATATTAGTAATTTTTGAATCGCAAAAAGTAGTAAATATATAGCAAACCTTAAAACTGGTGCTGTGATCGCTTTCATTCTTGCATGTCCATAGTGCTTTCAGGACATTTGCTAGCTGTTCAGTTAATTCACCTTTCGTGCCAAACTTACGTGAATTGATTTTGTTACGCCGTTTTAAATCAGCCTATAATTTAAATAAAATTAATTTTAATTAATCATAACAATGTTTAATATAAAGTATATAAAAAATCAATAATTATTATTTTCATTCAACACTTGCCTTGTATTGGTCCAATACAAAGTATTCAGCTAAAATGTCAGTATGACTAAGACATTGCAATACTGCATTCATAAAACAGGTGTTGCCATGATTCTTGAGACCCATAACGCCAGGAGTTTGATCTGCTGGCCATTGATAACCACTTATAGGTGGTACTCGATCTGCTGTTGGAACTGTATTAGTTTGTGAGGACGCATTTTGCTTGTTTGCCTATAAAATATAAATAAAAAAAAACACATTTTAGTACTTGTTTTAATATCTAATACATATGTATATTATATATAGATACATTAAGAGATAATATACATTATTGAGATAATATCGATAACAAAAGAGATTCAAAAGTAAAACTTGAAAACATTGTTTTAGAAGAACAGTAATATTGTTTGTAAAAAATAATTAATTACTTATTTATTATAACAAAAAAAATAGAAAAACACTATTAAATTAAATAACTTGTTTTGATTTATATAGGTTCATTATATTAACAGTCATGCTCATAACCTCAGATAGTGCTACGCTCGGTGCACTTTAAATACTCTTCAAATCGTCACGATTCGTAAGTATATATTAAAGGGAACGTGTGCTGAGAATTCTATATTTAAGACGCCTTTAAAGCGCTTTTCGAATAGCGAGAACGAAGTGCTCAATATTTTTAGAAATAATAGCTTCAAAGCGCTATAACGTAACATGTTTACAAAGAGAGCAATGCATTTAATGCATAATCTAACTCTATTTAATTTTGAGCGGTATATAATTTTAATAATTATAATTTTGTTGGGGCGGTATTCACGTCCTGTTGGTCGTTCTATTCATATATTATTTTGTTGTACAAATAAGAAAACGAAATTTTGTGTAAATAACTATTTTCCCAATTAAGGGATTATTAACCGGTCAATGTAGATTGAATAATTACCTAACGAAGTTAGGAATTCAATCCAACACAAACTGCAGATACTGTGGAGAAAGAGAGAAACTGCATACCACGTGCTTGGGGAGTGCCCGGCACTGATGCAAGAGCAGAAGAAATACATAGGAGGGTATTTCATGGATCATAAGAATTCAAGACTAGAAAGATAGGCTCTTCTCTACTGTCTTTCAGTCTTTTTGACTGGGAGAAATACTCCAATCCGACGACTAAGGGGCACAATAGACCTTTTAGATCGCAGTGCACTATACCTTTTCTCAATAATAATAACTGTTTTCTACCTGTTAGTTTTTTACAAAGCATTGCTAATAGAAATTAAAATTTTAAGAGAATTTGAGATTGAATGCTTAAGTATCTTCATAAAATAATAAATATTTATTAATATTGAATATATTATCTATTATATTATACATATAAGAAACAATGAATATAAATAACTTGCAATACTAACCCATTCAATTTAAGGTTTGGAATATGCGGAAATATATAAGTCTAAGTTTTATACGTAATACTTAAAACATAGCAAAACAAACCCAAACAAAATATAAACAATAAAATTGGCACTAACAACAAATCAATAATTTAAAAAAGAACACTAATCAATATAAAGAACACTATATATGCACAAAATATAGAATTAAAAAACTAAAATAAATAGACAATAATAATAATGCGATAATACAATAGAAATGCAGGTAGGATGTGTAATTTTAAAATTGAACCAATTGCAGCTTATGCCACAAATTAACGAAGCCGCCACACACGCGGAACGCAAACCATGCGCACTCTTTGAACAGTCAATTTGGAAGATTGGAAACCAATCGTTGGAAAAACAGAAATGGTAGCAATTTTAGATACAATAAGTTTTGTAGGACGATATTGTGTATTATGTGTGGCCAATAAATTAACGTGCCATTGCATTTACAAGATACATAGGTAATTCTAAAAAGCAAACATAAGTACAAGTTGATTGTGGTTGTAATGCGAAAGCTAATTCACAATACACTTTGGAGTAAAAAATAAAATATTTATTCATAACAATAGAAAAGTAATTTCATATTTATTTTTAGCATATAATAATAATATTGAAAAGTTCATTCATTCATTTCCAAATACCTTTTTTCTACGCCAACATCCAGTATAGAAAGGAACAATATCTATAAATGTTGTTCTATCAAATGCTGACTGCAAATGAAGGCAACATTAAAAGGAATTAATTGCAAAATAGTAATATTTAAATGTTTTTAAATTGTATAATTAATTTATAAACAACAATCAAATAAGAAATTTCTTTAATACTAATACAAACAGTGTAAAATAATAAACAAAAGAAGAGATAAAGCATTTTATATGTCTCAGATTTCTCAAACAAACATACACAATCTTTTAAAAAAGTACCAGGATTATGCATTCTAATGACCCGCCCTAGTGATTTACTGTACTTATCAATATTGCCACTAACTATTCAGTTTATAATCGTATTTTGTTCCCGAAAGGAGATTTAACAATATTAACAACATTTATAATAAATACTTCCATTTTAAGCGATCCATTCATTTGAAGAATATGTACTTCTTACCTATGTCCTAAAAACAACGTCTTTTTCCATTAATTTTAATCTAGAATTTATCATTATTAATGTATATTTTTCATAAATTTCAACAAAAGTATTTGTTGCTCAGTTCTTTGATCAATCGGCAATGATATAAACTACTAATATATTGACAGAAACTTTTAAATAAATTAAAAAGTTTAACTGATATGACCTCAGTGGGTATTTAATCGGCAAGAAACAAATAAAAAAAATAAGGAAAATAAAATAAATTTCATAATTACATTTCACCCGCCAACTATTAAAATGTCTTTCAAAATATGCAACGACAATTCTCCACAAACGAACTACTCACAGTTAATTGAGTAAGAATGAAAACAATTTAAAGATACTTGTAAAAATGTTAAAATTTAGTTGTCATTGTTCAATTATTTATACTTGCATAGTTTACATAGCAAGACAAACAATGGAAATTTTTTTTTTTTTATTAGAAACAAATTTTATTTTCCTTACTTCATTTACGTAAATAAGTATCTGAAAAATAAGATGGCAATCTGAAAAGACAGCTAACATTCCAGTGCTTTCGAAAACAATATTGATTGAAATTTTTTCAGCATGTTGTAAAACATATGTAGCTAACCTCGTATAAAATAAGTAAGGTTAGAATGGGAAGGCACGTTTTAAAATAACAATACTATGACACGGGAACAACTATGACCAATTGTAATGTAAATTTTATTCTTATTAAGCCATTATTAAACCATAGGCTTAACTTCATATTCTATGTCAGACCAATAAAAAAACCCAAACTCCCAGACATTGTATACTCCTCGTAAGCATAGACAAAAAGGCATTGATGAATTTTTCTCTTCTTTAATTATTTATTTATTATTAAATAATAGGCTATAAAAGCACCCCAACCTAAAAGATGCCTAAAGGCCCAACTAAAATAATACTGAACTGTTCATAAATTTCGTAAGTGCTGTGGGTTCAATTTTATCTATTTGATTTGGGACTAAGATCTCGCTTACAAGGTTGTCAAGTCTACGTCTTGCTGTCGTTGGGCAGTTGCATAGAATATGTTCTATTATTTCCTTCTCTTCATAACAGAGTCAAGGGGAATCACATTCTATCGCACCTTTAATCTTCACTCTTCTTCAATAGGTTCGTACCTAATGAGTCTTTATATATAATATATACAATATTAACTTAGTTTACTTCAATTATGCACTTCGGCTTCAATAGGTACTTCTACTTTATGAAGAAAATCTAAAGATATCGCCAGTATTGATTCCATTTTTTTTGTGTTCGGAGTGTAAATCATCACTAGCTACCCTCGTATAACTACAAATCTACACATATACAATAAGAAGCGTGTTTGTACGTTGTACAAATTAAGGGTGCATGACGATGATGCATGAAGTGTTTATTAATAAACTTATCAATGTGCAACAAGTCATTGTTATTGATTTTGCCTGCAATTTGTATAAATAAATTTGTGTACAATAGAATCTTGAGCACTCGTATTTGAAACAATAACAATAATAATAACAAGTTGATAAAATAACTGTCATAATAATTTTATATAATACGTTAAGAGAAATAAATGCGAAAATAGCTTTTAATTTAATTTCAAATGTCAATTGCAAAAAGCAATTGATGATTAATTGAAATGCTTTTTTTATCAGTTTAGGAGTATGTCAATTGATAACGAATAATTAATGTAACTATATATGTAACTATGTATATGTAGTGTACTATATATGTAACACTATGTATGTAACGCTGTATGTAGTTACATAACAAAAGTAAATACACATAGTTATACTTACATGTAGTTACATAGTTACATAGTTGTATGCAATGTAACTAAGAATAAAAATGTCTCATTGTGAATTCTAGGTAAAATACTAAATATTCTGAATATGAATTCTAATATTTAAATATAAATTTAATGAAAAAGCAGCACTGATTCTTTCAAGTGGTTGGTAAATAAGTAATGTAACTATGACCGCAAAATATTTTATTTTAAAGAGAATGATAGATAAAAATATATTTAAAAAAAAAATGATATTATTATTAAATGTATGTATAAGTATAAAAAATTAAAAATGAGGACACACTTTAACAGAAAATAACTGCGAGCTGTATATAGATAACGCTGATGAAATAAGAAGGAAAGGACATATTTGTAGTAAACATAAAACACATTTAATGCTACATAATATCACTTGCAGCATTTCCTTATTTGTTGTATTAAAGAAATTTTTATAGTCAAGTAAAAAGTTTACGAAAATTTAATATTTTACATAAACTTAACTTTTTAATGAATTTAACAGATAATATATTCAGGTGACGGATTGTACGACTTCGGATGACTTCATTTGCAATGCAAACAAAGTCATGTTTTACCAAGACAATGTACTGGCTGATCACCATAGCTAAAATTTACGATTCATATTTGTCCACATTAGAGTAAATCCGCAGATTGAAACCGGTTTTTATAAATTGAAAAGCGCAACCACTTTTAAGCCGGTTGAAAAGGTATTCTTCAAATCTATTATTCGTTATTTATGTAACATATACGAATGTGGCCGGGCGCAAAACCCAGTAGGAAACGGACCGATCCATCATCAAAGACGACTCAAAGACATGAACGCATGCTTGCAGGCCTATCGATCCAAATGTATGACGTTTTGGAACAAATTAGCCAAAAGATATATTTAAAAG